ACCAAAGAGACACTATTCCCATTCCCACCGGAGGTGCCAAGTCCCAGCTGGGCAGCTGGATGAGTGAGGAAGACTTTCAGAAAGCCAGAGAGGACCGCTTTCCTGGCTGCATGGCAGGTGTGTATTACTTAAACCACTGAACAATAACTGAAACCTGTCAAATAGTTCCTTCAACCACTAGAAAAATGTTGTGAAAAATATGTCTTAAATAAAAATAAATATTAAAATAATGATATTAAATAATATAAATATGACTTATTATATAAATATATTCAATATTATTTTATATATTACTAAAGATTATTTAGAATTATATAAAACATTATTTAATTTAAATATTAAAAGTATTAAATATTCGAAATATTTTTAAACATATCAAATATAACAATATATATCAATGATTCAATATATAATATGTTCAATAATAATGACACCACGGAAATCCAGGGATCTGAATCAGCTCTTTAAAATGCTGAAAGAGCACTCGTCTATATTGTGCAGCTGGATATATGCCCGGTTATAATGCTCTTCTCCATTATTTGATCATCATTTGATAAATAACTGTTGCCATGTGATCAATAGTAAATGTACACAAAGCAGAGCTCTCGTAAATCAAATTCAGTTTGCTGTGGCACCTGCCTTCCATAGACAGCAATAGTACAATGTTAACTGTGTCAAGCAAATAGAAATATTATATATAACAATTCTGACTTGCATAGAAAAGAGGCTTGTGTGCGCTGAGACGAATAACAGAATCCTGTCATTAGAGCTTCATTTGTATTTATCCTGACATATTCCTTTACAATCCGAATATCCATCAAATTTTTCATCAGTCCACACACTCATGTAGGATAGTCTGGGACACTGAAAGGAAACTTTCGGAATGCCCAAAACATCTCTTCAATATTTGTGTCTTTCTGTCCCTCTATAGGACGCACTATGTATGTGATCCCCTTCAGTATGGGCCCTGTGAACTCTTCTCTTGCCAAGTTTGGTGTTCAGGTGACAGATTCTCCATATGTGGTGGCTAGCATGGGCATCATGACACGCATGGGGACTCATGTGCTGGAAAAACTAGCCGAGGGTGCGGAGTTTGTGCGCTGCCAGCACTCTTTGGGCCGACCTTTACCACTCAAAGGTAACTTACTGCTTTATTTTAATGTCAGATTAAATGTAAATGTGACTCAGTCGATCAAATGAAACTCTAAATTTCACCAGTTCCTTCAAATTATCGACTGTGTCACTTTATTTGCCACACTGTTTATTATTTTCAAATGTTATTTGGCTAAGTACATTACCTTACAAATGTTTGGGGTCAGTAAGATTTTATGTTTTCGAAGGAAGTCTCTCATGCTCGCCAAGGCTGCATTTATTTGATTAAAAATACAATAAACACAGCTCTATTGTGAAATAGTACTATCATTTAAAATAAATTGTTTTCAAATTTGATATATTTTGAAATGTAATTTATTCCTTGTGATGGGAAAAAAATGAATTTCCATCAGCCATCACTCCAGTCTTCAGTGTCACATGCTCCTTCAGAAATCATTCTAAT